GATCTTGAAGTTCTAGGAAAGCCAGGGCGACCTGGTCCCACCCCCGCCCGGAAAAAAGATGGCTGCGATGATGTCCTTTCTTAGGACACCTTTGGATTAATCATGAAAATAACTATCCTCTGAGCAGCTGTTGGTAGTTTAAACCTCCTTGGTCTCTTGCTGATTGTGTTAGTGACTAGCTGTTGCGTTCACAGGTGACTCGTCAAGATGGTTCGCTACTCTCTTGACCCGGAAAATCCCACAAAATGTAAGCGACTGAAAAGGGCATGCTTCTGTTTTGATTTGAGGGTTAGAGTGTTTGTTTGGTGTGTTCATCATTCAGTAAAAATGAACTTTTTTTCCCCTCCCTCTTGCTTGCAGCTTGTAAATCACGAGGTTCAAACCTTCGCGTTCACTTTAAGGTAAGGAAGTCATGTTAAAGAATCGTAATTTGCTCTTGAATGTCTTTGGAAGGTAGCTGCAGTGATGACTTTCTTAGGACACCTTTGGATGTACCGTGAAAATAAGTAAATTCTGAGCAGCTGCCTTGTTGGTCATCGGGTGGGGGTGCTTGAGCAAAACTTGGCACTGTTGTGGAACACGGGTGTATATAATTACAAGATGGTGGAGCTTAATGGTGAATTTATTGATCTCTCAAAATTTAACACTGTTAACCAAACCTTTCTGGCTTCTAATTATTAGAACACCCGGGAAACTGCCCAGGCCATCAAGGGCATGCACATCCGCAAAGCTACCAAGTACCTGAAGGATGTCACTTCAAAAAATCAATGTGTGCCATTCCGTCGGTATAATGGTGGAGTTGGTAGGTGCGCCCAGGTGAGAAATCTTTGAAGATGCTGTGGCAAATTATAAGAAAGTGGGAAAGTGTAGGCTAAAGTGTTTACAGTCCGGTTGCTGTGATGACTATCTTAGGACACCTTTGGATTAACCGTGAAATAAAACATGTTCTGAGCAACCTGGCCTTAGGCCTTAGTTCTTAACTGGGTCCCATGATGATACATCAAGGAAAGTAACAAACCCCTTACCTTTTTTCTTTCAGGCCAAACAATGGGGCTGGACACAGGGACGGTGGCCAAAGAAGAGTGCAGAGTTTTTGCTGCACATGCTTAAAAATGCAGAGAGTAATGCAGAACTTAAGGTACCTAAACCATTGCTGTCCTGTTATATCTTGAGGTCAGTCTGGTCTACATAGTAAGAAACTGCCTTTTAAAAAAAGGAGACAAGGGCTGGAGAGATAGATGGCTCAGCAGCTGAGAGCACTGACTGCTCTTTCAGAGTTCAGCTCTTCCAGAGGTCCTGAGTTCAATTCCCAGCAACCACATGGTGGTTCACAACCATCTGTAATGGGATCAGATGCCCTCTTCCAGTGTTTCTGAAGATGTCACAGTGTACTCACATAAAATAAATGAATCTTTTTGAGAGGAGAGGTTTGAGACAGGGTTTCTCTGTGTATCCCTAGCTGTTCTGGAGCTCACCCTATAGACCAGGCTGACCTCAAAC